TCAGCAGGAGTAGAACAATAAAATAAGATACAAAGAATTACTAGAAGAAAAGATATAGACTTTATCGACAGTTGTAAAAAATGTTCCGATTCGTATAAAAAAATTCCACAATTTTCTAAAAAGTTATAAAATTATTTATAAATTCTGAAAAATGTTGAGAAAGCTTTTATGATTAGAGTGATATTGCAATTGTCGAAATGAAATAGAAAAAAATTTCGATTCGACCTTTGAACGAAAATATTCAAAATATAAGATTACGTATCACAAATTTATACCAAAATATTAAAAATGTATCAAACTCTCATTGCACTCTCTACATATGTAATTTTTTATCACTGAAAAATGTTGAAATTTCGATGCAAGTTTCGAATCGACAACTTTTCCATCATAACGACATCTTTTCGAGGAACTAATTCTAACTGGGATGTTATTTTTAATTACATTAAGAACTGATTTGATTATTAACTATATGTTTCGTTAGTGTTGGATGTATTGAATATTTGTGTTCTCAGTTTGTCTTTTTCATGTGCTCTTAAAATATATTTGGTTTGTTATAATACAATACGTGATCTGTGATTCATTAATACGAGTGCAAGTCAATAAGTAGAAAAACATTGTAATAGACTTTTTTTTGATCGATTCATTTTTATTTCTCAACATAGTCTCCTTTCGACTCGATATACTTGACCCAACAATTCTTCAACTTTTTCAAGCCGTCCGAATAATGATTTGTCCAACCCTTCAAAATAAGCCTCTGTTTCGGCGATAAACTGCTCTCTGGTGGTGAATCTCTTTCCTCCGAATAATTTGTTCAAATTTAGAAACAGGAAATAATCGCAGGGGCTAAATCTCGCGAATATGCTGGATGGGGAAGCAATTTGCGGAATTCGTTGAATTTGGCCATCGGTGCTGAGCACGTGTGAACCCGTGCATTGTTTTGATGGAAGAGCACTTTCTTCGCCAAATAAGGAACGTTTTTTCTTTAAAATGTTGTTGAAACAGTATATAAGGCTGCGTAGTAATCGCCATTGATCGTTTGCTTTGACGGAAGATAATCGATATGAATTATACCGCGTTCCAAAAAACTGTGACCATCACCTTTCCGGTCGACTTCACGGTCTTCGCCTTCTTCAGAGCTGGTTCACTCGATGAATTGTTTTGATTATTCCTTCGTCTCGGATGTGAAGTAATGGATCCATGTTTCGCCCACAGAAATGATTCGACGCAGAAATTCATCTAGATTACTTTGAAACATCTCCAAACATTGTTTTGAAATCGTCACACGGTCGCGCTTATGGTCCACAGTGAGCAAACGCGGCATCCATCTTGCCGATAGCTTTTTCATATCCAATTGTTCGTGCATTGAAATCACTGTGCCACATGTGATATGCCTGTGGCCTCAACAAGCTCGCGTACTTTCACTCATCGATCAGTCAAAACAATATCGTGGACTTTCGATCGATGATTTCTAGCGTAGTGGCCTCAATTGGACGTCCCGAACGAGGTGCATCACATGTGGATGTACGACCACGTTTAAATTCATTCACCCAATTGTATACAGTCGCAAACGCTGCAGATGCTATGAACATTATCCAATTCGACTGTGATTTCTTTCGGTGTTAAACCTTTCATATCTAGATGTTTGATCATTGCACGAAACTCGTTTTTTTTCCATTTTGCAAAAAATATAAAGGTTATTCGTTTTAATCGTCTACAGAAATGAAACCATGTGATGAATTCAAAATTTGACAGCTGAAAGATGCTACTTGTCAAAAAGTAATGTGACATTGTGGGGAATTCTTAATACCTCACTAGCGCAGCGAGTGTAAAAAGCTTAAGGATTATATAGGTAACGAGTTGCCTAGCAGCGTAAAAATAATATTATAAAAAAAGAAAAATTATAATAACAGATCAATAGAGGCGTTCGTCCTGTACGGTCATATAAAATTGTGCTCGTTAAATAAATATTATTATTACCAGTTACAAATAAAGTCTCAATTATTATTTTCTTTATCACATCACACGACGTGGACTTGTCAAGAGAATCTGACTTATCCATAGAGTCACATATTCCCACAAAATGACACTGCGAGTGCCCTCTGACAGATTTTCTAAGAACTTATTGACTTGCCCTCGTAGTATATAACTATATTGAGACTTCATTCAAAGGTAAATAGTCATATTTCTCTGCACAATTTAACATCCTCTATCTTCCAAAGAATTAAAAAATGCGCTCGGCTCGATCCGAAAACGCTTAGCCCTTGGATTAGACCAAATTAATTACGAAATGCTCGACAAACTTCCCATGGATCACAAGGCCTATTTATTGACATTATATAATGTCAATAAAAATATTTGAAAAAGAAGCATTTCCAGAATCTTGGAAGAGCTCGTTGGTAGTGCTGATACCTAAACCAGATAGTAAGGTAGTTAGATCCATCTCGCTTATATCTTGCCTATGCAAGCTCATGAAACAAATGCTATAGACTGAATAGGTTTGTCGAATCTCGGTCTACTCTTCCTCAGGCACAATTGGGCTTCGGACTCTTCAGAACTTGTGAGGATAATTTGACCACGCTCACTACTTCAGTAAAGACGAGTTTCTTGAACCGATCTCCCACAGTCGCGGTCTTCTTAGATATTGCGGAGACGTTCGACAACGTGAATCTCCATATTCTTATAAACGATCTGAGTGGGATCGGTGTTCCTGCCTCATTTAGAAAGTTTGTCGAAAATCTAATTAATGTCAGGCATCTCAGCTTTGTCATAGATGGGGAACTTCATGATCCGTACAACTTTTATAAAGGAACTCTTCAGGGATCTATCCTGAGTCCTTTACTTTTCAACATATATTTAAGGTCATTTGACCAACATTTACATTCTAACATTCGCTTTTTGCAGTACATGAATGATATGGTTTGTTTTCTTTTGCAACATGATCTGAACAAAGCTTCTATCCAGAATTTTTTAAACAGAATTTTCGAATAAAAGATACAGAAACCTTGAGGTATCTTCGCACAAATCCAGTTGAATTATTTTCACTCAAGGTAATCCGGTAAAAACCACTATAAGTTTGATCATCAATTTCGATCCCTAGAATGTATTCGCATCGCTTCCTGGGAATCATTTTGGATTATAACTTTAGCGGCAAGCACCATCTGAAGTATCTCATCGACAAGGACAGAAAGATCTCCGATATAATCTCAGTCCTCTCGAGAGTTAAGTGAAGCTCTCACCCTGGATTTCTCACTATATATAGAGCTACATTTCGCAATACGATCGAGTATGGATGTCATTTCGTGGAACTCCTCAGCATCGGAGTTTATCAAGCTTCGACGCCTTCAATATAAGGTAATAAGAAAAGCAATGGGATATCACATCTCGACTTCCATTAATGTTATGCTCAGTGAAGCTAAAGAATTCAAGTTAATAATATCAGATTTAATCTAACCGCTTCCAAATTTGTTTATAAAGCTATGGCCAATAAATTCAGTCTGGCATACAATGCACTGGAAGAACTCAAAATCATCGCTATTAGAAGGAACTGCAAGACTGAAGCCATCAAAAATTCCAGGCTCTTCAGGCATTTCGTGATTAGTCGTCATGAGAAGCAAATCGTTCATCATACCACATACCCACCAGCTTTTTGGCACACTTATTAAGTATTCTACTTTAGAAATTTCATACATCAAGGACATGCATGGCTGCGACAAAAGGGACAATATCACCCAGATTTTTATCACAAATCTTCTTCATATAGGCAGAATGCCACCGCTTTTTATATTGACGGCTCGAAAAGAATGATGTTGTCGGAGCTGATGTTTTCTTGCCTGAGATGAAGATTGGACACAAATTAACGGAAACGTCAATTTTTTCCGCAGAATTTTGGACCATCCATCAGGCCATTCTTGCGGATCTCGATCAACAACACAATGTCATCTTTTTCGATTCTGAGAGTGCACTAGAGGCGATACAGAATTCAGTAAGAGCATAGCGCAACTACATTTGTAAGAAAATTCCCGAGGATCTGTAACCACCACTGCGTAGATGGAGAACCGTTGTCGAAGGCTCATATTCGGAGCTAATTAGCGCTTGACGCGATTCGAACGATCTGCGAATGCACCGGTACTTCGGAGCACGCGACGTGAAAACAACTCGAGAGAACGATTGTAACGAACAAAGACAGACATTCGTGAGGAGTAGTCAGCTCCATTTGCGTTTCGTTATAATAAAATTATATAGTGTAAGAATAAAAGTATTTGTGACAATTAAAGAATCTCAGTTACTCTAAGTCTAAGTCCTCGTCAAAATCCTGTCAAACTTCTTCGCGCTTGGTCGGCCGTGCTCGCAAAAGTATTACATTGGCGACATTCCCGTACCGGGAACGAAGAAAGAATACTACGCAAAATCTTCCAATAAATAAAAGGTCTTACACATTATTTATATAAAGTAGACATATAACAATGTCATCGGTGAGGGGAAGGAGATTATTCTTTTCTGGTCCTTGTACACTTTGGCATACCCGGAAATGAATCCGTGGTCAAGCAGGCAGCGTTGGAAGGATACCCCTCGAAGTTCCGCATGAGATTCCTTATGAGAATTTTTTGACTGAATCAAGAAGCCAGGCAGATAAGTAGTTTGAAGACTATATGAAGATAGTCTCTTCCTCCAAAAGCGCATTCTATTACGAACGATTCCACACAGCCTCCAAAAAAACTTGGTTTCACAAAACAATGCTGAGTAGAGAAGAAATTGTGCTTATCAATTAGATCAAATCATGTGAATGTTAATGAGAGCTTTCACAGAGTCAATATTGTGAATTCGTCGATTTATCTTTTGTCAGTGGGGACTCATATCAAAGTATCAACCACGTTGTATAGTTGTATTCCATTGCAAAAAGTACAATCTAAACTGCATACCAATTCGAAAATTTATTGTCCAAAAATTTCCTGATACTCCTCAAGACCTTTCCCCTGCCCTCTCCTTTCTCTCTCTCAAATTATGTCATCTGCTATTGGCTTTCATGAAATGACTTTTTCTTCTGATTCTTATTTTGTTCTTCCCCCTTCTTCCTATGACGCGTGATCACTGATTGATGGCAGCAGATGTCAATTCGAGAGAGAGGCAGCCATTTTACTTTTACTTGGAGCAAGTCTAAATTACCTAAATTACGCAGATACAAAATCACCAGATTTCGTGGACCTCGTGGTCTAGTTGAATTAGGTCAGGTTATCTGGCCAGCAATAGGAAAAAAAAAGAAGCTTTCTGTTAAGGTCCTTAAGATTTTCTTACTAATCTCAATCTTAACTGCTGTTGGAATCAGAAGAAAAAGTCATTTCATGAAAGCCAATAGCAGGTGACATAATTTGAGAGAGAGAAAGGAGAGGGCAGGGGAAAGGTCTTGAGGAGTATCAGGAAATTTTTGGACAATTCATAGTGTGATTGAGCAATTTTCAATCTTAATCTCAATCTCAATCTTCAATGCATAGTCTGATCACGGCTCCTGCAATAAAATTACTCGTTCAGAATAAAAACGTCCAAACGTGTGACGTCACATTACCTATGGACATCCTTGTCTAATGAAGTTTTCATTCGGATCCCTATGTACATCCCTATGTATACTGTGCAGCTGCAGTTTCTTACTTGTAGTATTAGATTGGTGCATATGAAATGTCGGATTTTCTTTACATATGAACGTTTGTCTCCCTGTTTTCGTTATGCTTTTGTTTTGGCATAATCTCGTTTATAGTCGTATTGTCCATTGCCAGAGTCACATTTCAATAAAGAAGATTTTCTCAAAAGTGTTCCATTTTGTTATTTATTTTGAATTTCGTAAGGATATGAATTCAACCGATATTCATGTAATTTTTTTATATGAGTATAAACTTGGTAATAATGCTGCACGCAATATAAATGCTGCCGGCATTTGGGAAGAATACTGTTAACGATCGAAAAGTGCAGCGTTGGTTTGAAAAATTTCGGTCTGGTGATTTTTCCCT